AGAACAAAAATAAAAGTAGAAGGTGAGTATATAATCACAATTTTAAATTTTTGGGTGAACTATCCAAGTAAGCCTGAATACTAAAATAAAAGTAATTTAAAATCCTGTCAAACTGAAACAATTACAGATACCGATCAGTAGAAATATAAAAACCACTGTGGGAAACCTGAAGTATGTTTGCTGTAAGTCATGTGATATCTTGCCGGCAGCTAGATAAATCCACACCTGCATGTACTTGCATGAGTCACATTTTGTACATTTAATAAATCCAATTACATTGACTTAATGCCATTTAATTCTGCTCAAAGCATTATATATACCAGCCTTTTGATGTTTCATTATTAAGCTAATGGTTGATCTTTTTATCTGTATATATTTATTATTATTATTAATCTTTTTATTGTTGGAAAGTATGTTTACAATCATGAATAGCTATTTTATTCTTCAAACAACTGTAATTTCATGACATAAGCCTGTCACGATATCTATTTTTTTTGTTGTACGATATATATTGCACCAAAATATTTTGCGATATATTGTCATTTTAAGATCATTTTCTCATTATATAATACCAGACAATATACACAGACAATATATCATCACAATGCAAGTGCACCCTTCCAAAGCACACATAATATTTCATTCTTAAAATATATTTAATTTAATTATAGTCATTTTAATAATCAGGCATTGGAGTCAGAATGTGAAAGCGCATATCCTAAATAAATAGTAATACATGTTAACATATAAGTGCAAGGTAAAGAGAAACAGAGGTTGCGATATCTGCTAGCAGATCTACTGTCACCTGTCAGACACCCCTATGAAAATATACTAATTTACAGTAACTAATACAGTGTTTTAACCATAGTGACACCTCCAATAGAGATAGAGATGTTGTACACTCAGCTCAAATGTTGCTGAATTGGTTTTTATGTATGGGCAATATATATTGCATCACCAAAAATGATTAAGCTCATGTCCATGTGTTGTGCCACAAGTCAATAAATTGATTTTTGTGACAGGCCTAGACAGACAGTGCTGTTCAATAAAAGCTGTGGGGTTTGTTAAATGTATATAACACGACCATCAGATCATGTTATATTCACATATACAAAATACAGAGACTTTATCATCTGCCCTAGACTAGAAAGTCTCTGATTACTCATTCCCATGAATGGTTTTAAATTGTAAATCATCTGAGCATTCCTTTACAGTGTACAGAACATGTCCATATTATTAACGTTAAGTCCGCTCGCTTATTAGGACAAAAAAAATTGCTCTAGTTCTGTTTTAGATGCACACAAATAAATAGAAACTCTTTGTATTCTTCATGTATTTAAAGCACTAACCAAATACATTGAAAAAAGAAAATAAAATGTATTTATATCTTTAAAATATATGTGTATTACAAAAATGAATGATAACTTGTGTGCATAAATAGTTTTTTGAGGCAACCATCCCATTAATTATGTAAATATACAATTAATATACTAATCATATTATTATATTAAATACTAATATTGTTATCCTAATATTATACTTATTATATTTTATTAAGGTCGCTGGTTCGAGCCTCAGCTGGGTCAGTTGGTGTTTCTGTGTGGAGTTTGCATGTGGGTTTCCTCCGGGTGCTCCGGTTTCCCCCACAAGTCCAAAGACAAGCGGTATAGGTGAATTGGGTGGGCTAAATTGTCCGTAGTGTATGTGTGTGAATGAGTGTGTATGGATGTTTCCCAGTGATGGGTTGCCGCTGAAAGGGCATCCGCTGTGTAAAACATATGCTGGATAAGTTGGCGGTTCATTCCGCTGTGGCGACCCAAGATTAATAAAGGGACTAAGCCGAAAAGAGAATGATTAAATACATGTGCACCTACATTTTTATGGGGTAACCATCCCGTTAGGCATCTAAAAATACTAATATATTTAATAATTCAATAACTTGACGTTTAAAGCATCTGTTAGTCCTACCAGACACTGATCTCAGCTCATAAATTACATTATTCTTGATCTGATGGACCATACAGCACAGCAGATCACTGCATTATTTATTGCCCAGGATGATTCAGGATAGTCGGTCAGCATTATTATTACTGTGATACTTCGCAGCGTCAGTGCTGTTGCATTTGTTGATCTGATCTTTATAATATAGTTAGTTCCTATTGAAAGCTTTTGAAAAGTATGCACTATGCAGACTAGATGTCATAATTTAGCAGCCTCGACGTACAATGGCTTACATGTTAATCCTCACTATTAACTTGTGGTTTAATACTCGTCTATGAACGGTTTATTAGTACTTATATAGGCAAAACGGTGGCTCTGTGGTTAGCACTGTCGCCTTAGAGCAAGATGGACGTTGGTTTGATTTCCATCTGGACCAGTTGGCGTTTCTGTGTGGAATTTGCATGTTCTCTCAATGTTCATGTGGGTTTCCCCTGGGTGCTCCGGTATTCCCCACAGTCCAAACACATGTGCTATAGATGAAATGGATGAACTAAATTGACCGTAGTGTATAGGTGTGTGTGAATTCAAGTGTTTTCCAGCTGGAAGGGCATCCGCTGCGTAAAACATATGCTGGATAAGTTGGCGGTTCATTCTGCTGTGGTGACCCCTGATAAATAAAGGGACTAAGCTGAAGGAAAATGAATGAATAGTACTTATATAAAGCCCGTGTTCTGATGCAGTCTTACATTTCATACCCAATACCAAACCCCAACTACTAACGTTACTAACTAGTAATTAGCCGACAAAAACTTTAACTTTTGTTTTCGATAACTTCATAATTCAGCAGCCTCAACATACAATCACAATCTATTCAATACCCTTTTTTAATTATTTTAGTGTTTTAGCAACACTATAACTTAAGAACCAATTCTCACTATTAACTAGTGGCTTATTAACTGTATTATTAATATATGAACTGTTTATGAAGCACATTTTCTGCTGCAATCTTATTATACATCCCCAATCCTACCCAAAACCAAAACCCAACTACTACTAACTAGTAATTAGCAGCTAATTACGAGTTTATAGCAACAGTACAAGGCAAAAGTTGTAGTTTATGCTTTATAAATACCCAAAATTGTATATTAAACAAAGTGTGACGTTAAAAACATCATGCTATTTGTGACTAACGTCATTTATAGTAACACAACAGCAAATCAGGTCATTATTGGGTAATATTTGTCTGACGGTTTTCTCACTGTAGAATACAAACCCTTTGTTTTACTATTAAGAAAATAGTTTTTTCTGCACTTGTTTCACAAAACAAAATAACTTTACACTAACTTACACACAAATAAAACCCTCTAAACGACGGGTCTCCTATGCTAACATTATATTTGAGGAAAACAACGAAGCTAATGGGCGTCACATATTAGCACACAGGCCTTAAATACATTAAACAACAAGCTTGACTATTACTACAATTATAAATGCGTTGTTTAACACAATTTGCACTCAAATGAGATTAAAAAAATATATTAATACTTATACAGAGATAACTGAGGTATTACTCAAACATGAAAAACTACAATTTTTCCAGCATATTTCCAGGACCACATGCCTGTTATAATAAATAACTTACAAATCTAACTGAACCACATCCAAACAATACGACAAACAAACGATAAACACATACAGCTTTATTGTCAATTCAACCACATGTACAGGACATATAGAGAATCGAAATTACGTAACTCTCAGACCCTAGGTGCCTAACATATAATGTTAATACAAAAAGTAGAGTTTTAATAAAGAATTTACAATAAATACAATTATACATAAAATGTCATCTAAATATTTACCTAAAATTTAGTCTAAATATATACATAAATGTGATCTAAATTTATACATAAACTGTAATCTAAAGAATAATAAAACAGAATAAAACTTGTAATCAATACAATACAAAAACATTAAGGGCATATGGCAATGAGTGCAAACCAGAGTTGTGCAGATAGAACCATATATAGTGCAAAAAGGCTTGTAAACATGAGAATTATGATAAAGTGACAGTGTCATGATATATAGGGAGGTAGTCCAATGCTGCATAAAGTGACCAGTGCAGATGTGTGTATGTGTGTGTGTTTTCATACGTGAAAAACATGTACAATCGCATTCTATGAATTATTTTAGTGTTTTGGGTAACACTATAGTTTATAAACCAATTCTCACTATTAATTAGTGGCTTATTAACTGTATTATTAATATTTGAACTGTTTATGAAGCACATGTTCTGACGCAGTCTTATTATACATCCCCACTCCTACCCAAAATCAAAACCCAACTACTCCTAACTAGTAATTATGAAGTTATGCTAATAGTGCAAGGCAAAAGTTGTAGCTTATACTTTATAAATACCCAAAATTGTATATTAAACAAAGTGTGACGTCAGAAAATCCTGCTATTTGTGACTAACGTTAAATAGCAGCAAATCAGGTCATTATTGGGTAATATTTCGCTGACGGTTTTCTCACTGTAAAATGCAAACCCTTTGTTGTAGCTCACTGTTTAATAGTCTACTATTGAAATAGTATTCTTTGTACTTGTTTTAATAAAAAATATAACTTTTTATTATACTAACTTACACACAAATAAATCCCACTGAACGGCAGGTTTCTTATGCTAACTTAACGTTATACTGAAGAAAACAACGAAGCTAATGGGCTTCACATATTAGCACACTGGCCTTAAATACATTTAACAACAAGCTTGACTATTATTACGATTATGAATGCGTTGTTTAACATAATTTACACTAAAATCAGATTAAAAACAAGTAAATGTTACTAAGTTATGTACAGAAGTAACTGTGAGGTATACTAAAACATGTAAAAACTACCATTTTTCCAGCATATTTCCAGGACCACATGCCTGTTATATGAAATTACTTTCACGATGAATTGATTCACAACCAAACAAAGGTTATTTACGTCAAGATCCCACATAAACAACTGCAGTAAAACACCGTTAGCATACCGCTTCAGCCTTACGTCACTCACCAACACCGAAGACACACTGGCAGAGAATGGCGTAAAATAGTCCCAACTGGATCCCCAAACCAGGATCTCCAGACATTTTGATGAACGGGTTTTCCAGAACTTTTCAGGCCGATTTCAGACGTGTGTCCACGAGCAGAGCCGCATTTCCTGAATCTGAAGCGTGTGTGTTTGTGCTCCCTTCGCCTTTTCTTCTCTCCTCTGGAACCACAGTGGTTGCCAGATATTCCCGTATGACGCTGT